CTGCTGAATAGGCTCCATATGTTGAAGACAAAGACTATTTATTTCAACAGCTTTATTTTTAATAGACTTTACTGGGCCATTCTATGTTTATGAAGCTAGGAAGACAATTTAGCTATGGGGGGTCATAGAAAAAGCCACATTTTGGAGATGTGATAGAGAAAGAATTAAAAAATGTAGATACAATTATCTACAGTTATTGGACAAAAGAGAAGAGTCTGTCAATTACAGCATTGTCAACAAGAAAGTACTAGCAGGTGTGATGATGATGTAATGCCAGTTAAATCCTATGTCACCATGTAAGCAACATATACATATTTATGTATACACTGCATAAACAATACATTGAACTTCACATTGAAGCACAACAGAAGATCTGTATATGTGTTTCCCTTTAGAATAAAATTCTTTAGGGAGTGTGGATCAAAACAATAGTAGTCCAATAGGATGGAAAAATCATTTTTGATTTTGGATTAGACCTGTGTCTTTCTTAAGTAAATTAAAAAAAAATACAAGTCATTAAGTTGCATATGAACTGGTGCCATGCCTGACCAACCATTTAACTTGCCCTGATACAAGATGACCAAACAACTTGTAAGGCTGAATCATGACCAGCTTCCTGGACACTAACTTATGAAAGGTTTAGTAGTTTCATTCCCTGAAGCAGTCTCCTCACTGAGTAGAGCCCTCTACCTACCAACACAGAACAGAATTAGTTGTGGCTCTTGGTATGCAGAATGGCATTCCAAAGGAGGGAATTAGTGTAGCTGGTGTATGTATGCACAGATGTCCCCTCCCAAGTATGCATTAATGCAGGGCTGGCCAGCTTGTGGCCCAGGTGCCATGGACAGCCTTTGTACATAGTGCAGCAGAAGATAAGGTAGGGAAATACAGGGAAAGAAACAAAATAAAACAGAAGATTGGGCAGAAGGGGAATGGAGTGGCATACTTCAAAAAAGACTCCCTCCCCTCCCCCCCATCCCTTAATGCATAGGAGGAATAAAAGTTGAAGCTAAAAGCATGAGGCCTTTGTATTTCTGTGTACATTTAAGTAGAGACATGTACACTAGAATTGGGTAATGAAAGCATGAGTTGCAAATGTCTATTCTTCCTTTTTGGCTGGAGTGTAAAAACCCATCCAAACACTGCCCCCGCCTCATCTTATTGGTTCTTAAAATTAGCTTTTGGCTGACTAGCTTTTTCCCATTCTGAACTTCTTACTGATGTCAGTGACTAGGGAATGCTACCTGTATCCAATTTTGGGAAGAATATGCATGAGCTTATACAGACAGAAAACATGTGCAAGTTTCAACAATTAGTTTCAAATGACTTTAATCAGGCCCCTCTCCCCAGTGCTGCCTCTACAGTGCTACAGCTGTCATCACCAGGATGAAGTCCCAGGATATGTTCTTGTATAAAGACTGCTGCTGTAGTAGAGTGCTCCACCCCTTGAATCACAAAACAATAAGCCAAAATGACTACTTCAAGAAGAAATCAAGTCCTCCAACACAGAAGGGCTATCCTTTGCTATTTCATTTGGGTATCATGTACACCTAGATTTGAAGTAGATGTTATAAACTGGAAAAACAACAGCAGTTGGTCAGCCACAGGCAATAATTTGGCAACATGATACAAACCTGGACCCAGGACTAATAAGAAAGTACTCATATTACAAGTAAAATGGCATGCTTCCAACATTTTTCTGTTAAAACAAAGGCTAATCAAGAAGTGGGCATGTCAGTAGTCTATGGCTGTGTACATGCAGTTTGATTTTTAGTGAACAGCTAGCTGCCTTTTGACTGCTGTGAGTATACACAAGGATGACAACTCAACTAGGCAACGTTAGAGAACTTGGAAAGTGATTTAGTAGAAATAAAAATCCATTTTCAGCTTTAAAAATAAACTTGGAACCTCAGCAAGTTTATAGATGTGTTCTGGGGGGGTGTGGGGTGGAGGGGGCCACTTTAATTAGTAGTTATGATTGCAGAAAATAAAATATACTTGTTTCTTTTCCTCAGGTCTCTGGAGCAGCAATGTAAAGCTTTTCTGCTTAATGAAATGATTCCCTTATTTACTGAAAATAGTTCTAGCCCTCTGAGTTTTAGTAGTGCTCCCTTTCTTTACTAGTAAGAAAGGGGAAGAAATGGGGTGGGGGAAGAGACTTAGTCCTACCTGAAGGCTAAATAAACATTTTAGCCTAGAAACTCTATGGATTTTTTTGTACTGGAAGGCAGTAACCAATGCATTTCCCACATAACTATTTTTGTGAACTTAGTATTGAAATTTATAATAAATATATTGGCTGAACAAGTTAATATTGCCTAGAAGGGTTGCTAGGTGCCGACATGAAAAGATAAAGTTAACATAAAACTCTTAAAGAGTGCAGCCTTCAACACTGCTGTCACCAAAATAGATTAGTTAAATACTGATGCCTTAAGGCTGACAGTGTGTTTGCATTGATTGGCGAAGTTAACGTAAGTGTCCCCTGAGCTCTTTTTTATTATTAATAATAATAAAACAATAAGTTATGGATAGCTTCTCCCCTCCCTCCAGGTTTCTGTAGCAAGCCAAGACCAGTTCACAGTCATGCACCTTAGTCAGATGTTTCCACTTCAGAGAATTGGAAACCTCTCACTTATGAACATGCATACAGCTAGCGGTTCGGGGCCCATACAAAAGCTCCCACTCTACTGCATGATGTCACAGGTTTAAATTGGTTTGAAATTGCTTACTAAACATGAACTAAACTGTAATTTTGGTTGATACTTTTAGCCACTTTTGCTCAAGTTGTTGGGACAAGGAATTTTATGCGTGCCCTAGACACACTATGGTCAGGCCAGTTAGTGCTGGGATGGCAGCAAGAACTGCTGTTGGTAGTAATGTGCATACATAGGTTTCAAAACATGGTGATGGATCAATAAATGTGTGTGTGCTTATAGAAGCTTTTCTCTTGCTTCTACCTCTTTGCCTCTAGTAGGATTTCTCAGGAGAAAAAACGTTTACCAGTCCAGGGGCAGGGGCAGGGGAAAAGTTGGAGAAGGACTTGGTATGCTCCTGCCAGATACAGCATTTAGCCCTGCTCTGGGTTCACATCTGAAACCCAACTTGCCCTCCATATCTATAACTGCTAGATGTTAAGAGTCATAGGAATATCAAAAATAGTCTTCAATAACCTTCTGTACAAGTGTAATTTCTAAACCATTCCAAACAGATGTTTATTCAGCTTTTCCATAAAAACATGACCAACTTCAGTGACGGAGGTTCCCATTTTCCTAGTTAACTTTGTATAGTTCTCTTGTCTCCACACAAAAAGTGACTTTGCCCAGAGTATTGCTGTCATTTTTGCACAGGAAGTTGACCAGGCAATACTTTTGAGTACTCTTAATTAGCCACGTCTTAATACCAGTTGATGTAGTTAGAATTTAGCCTGACAAACTATACCAAGGTTCATCTGTTCTTAGTCTAGCTAACATATTTCTGTACTGCTGTCCATCACAGCCAGGAACTGGAGAATTGGTTTTTCAGTTAGCTATTTTAGTTCCTTGCAATTTCCTCAAAATTTAGAGGAAGACATCTGCTATTAAATTTACAGGCTCCTTATATTTGGTAGAAATTAATACTTTTTTTTTAAACAGGAGCTTTTAAAAACATAGCTACTGTCATTTAATGAGGCTTCAGCACTATCTTGCTGTTGAGAGCCTCACAATTGAGTTTGGGAAGCCAGAAATGCATCATGAGTATTTATTTTGCAGTAAGTGTAATATTACAGGTAACAGGTAAAACTTAAATTTACTAGTCCCATAACACAGAACTGAACAAGTGTTCTATTATACACAGTAACCTGGTCAAGATCTTCAGTGCAAGGTGCAACTGGCAAAGCCGTGCCATTACTAGTAAATTTGCATGTATGCCAACAGTGTAATACCAATACATTTAGAATAAGGCAAAATGGCAGCCACCTTAACCTCTGAGCAGCCCTGTAAAAGGTCTTATGTGCAAGATAGCAAGCAAACAGGAGTAATGCCATTCCACCTTTTAGAGGTAAAGCACAGCTCTATAGGTTTAAAGGAAGAAGTTTCAAGCTAGTTTAGTGCCCTGCTCCCAATAAGGTGTTCCCATCCCCCTCTCCAGGCATATCCAGCAAATATATTAGGGAAGACTTGAAAGTTGGGAAAGTATAGGTGGCAGAACAATTTCTGCTTTATAGCTTTTGCTCAGTTCTCACCTGTAGTACTGCAGAGGCTTTCAGCCAAGGAGTTAAAAAAAAAAAAAAAAAAAAAAAAATCAAGCTACTAGTGAATTTAACTGACCATATTCAACACTTTTCTAGTTGCTATAGCTGTGGACCAAGTCCTTGTACTGTCTGTGTTTAGAGGAGACAAAAGTTTCTACTGGAGGTAGGTGTCAAGTTTTTTCTTGATGTTATCAAAAGAATCTGCTCCCATGTAGTCAGCCTGGCCTTGTTCCCACTTCTCTTTGCGGTCTTCTGAAGATACAGTTGGTGGTGGCGGTGGTGAGGAAGGTGATGATGCTGTTGCTGAAACTGACATGTGGGACACTGCCTCTGTAACTTCATCCTAGAAAGAGAGCAGAATAAGTAGGGTGCACAGGAGTAGGCTACATAACTTAAGAAAAGCAGTAGGGGGCATCGGGTAGAAGAACCAATGAGATGTTCTCATGCAAAGCAGCAAGCACTTTAGAAGTCTGCGCAAGGAGTTATACACACTTTCCTAGCAAAATAATGAACAAAACTGAGAAGTCAGTGGAAAAATGTGCAAGAACATAATTAAGATTAGGTTTAAGTTCTTCATACCTCTCTACAGAAGCCACAAGAGAGAGCCAGAGTATAGACCAAGCCCGATAGCTGCAAATAGTTCATTAGACAGGTGTAAGATGGACAAGAGTTAAGCAAAGATAAAATAGATCAGTAACTTTGGGCTTAGAAAGGTTGAGAACTTAAACTACTTCATATTCTATGTATTAACTAGAGGTGCTGTGAAGCTGTACCGCATGCATTCTATTAGAACTCCATGCACAAAAGCTAAAATAAACATCAAGAATTTGCTTCCAGCTAAACCTAAAGCCTTCCACTAGGACATTTACTACAGAATGAAATTGGTTCAATTCCTAATAAATGGAGCAGACACATGAGACAGCCTTATACCAGGGGTTAAGTTATCCTTTAGAAAAAGAAGCAACTACACTGGCATATTTGTCAGGTGTTTGCTCTCCTGGTTCAGTTTCATCTCAGGGTAGGCATTTGCTCAAATAGAGAACTAGCCACCCCATCCCCTAGTGGCCAGGTGATGTAATACTAGCTACTGCAAGCTGCTTGCTTGGGATGGTGAAGGGAATGAACAGTAGTGCAGAGTAATATCTAGGGTGCATGTCTTGTGGAGACTAAGGGTGTTGATGCATGCAACAGTTTTCTAGACTTGAGCAATTTGTCCTATAGAAGCCTGAAAAGCTACATTTCTAGCCATGTAGTATTCTCCTGCCTTCTGGCAACCATTGCCATATTTAGAATTCCCTACTATACAAGGGTATGTTTCAGCCATGCTTAGGAATACCAGCTTCCTCTTTACGTGATGTTTCTGAACTGCAAGTTATTCTTTTGTAGAAGTGAGTTGCTTTCAGGGAGGACACAGACGTATCTACTCTCTGACCCTCCAGAAGAGACATGCTATTTTACTGGTTTGTTTCTGCTAGTATTTAAGCTTCTGACTAGCTATTAGAATGACATTTTTAGTGGTTGCAGTGATAAGGGATACCCTCTAAATGTAGAAGCCCCTGCTGTATTTTTGTTTTCATTTAAGTCCTTTCTTATAAAACAGCTGGCTATGAAAAGAGAGCCCAAAGTGCTACTTTGCATCAGCATACCAAGGAGGTAGTTTTGTACTGCTTTTCCAAATTCCTTCAATGGAAAATGGGACTTTTGCAATAAGTCTCATTTGTGGCCCATTATTCTGTAAGAGTTCTGAACAGAATGATGCAGGAGATGAAATATTTTAAAATAAGTTAAGAAAGGTTTGAAGAGGTTTTTTTGTGGTAGCATAACTTCAGCTATGAGGAATGAACCAAGATAAAGCTTACTTCTACAGCATTGGTCACTTTTTAATTTAAGATGCTGACTTCTTTGGAATAAAAGTCAAGAGACAGTTTAGATTACCATTTCTGTGAATTTTTTTACAAGTTAAGCAATTTACAGCTCTTTAGAAACTGTGTGCCTGACTGTTTCTGTTGCTACTAGCTAGTATTACAAAGATTCCTAGTTAAAAATTATTGGCATCAAGATCTAGAGTCAATGTTGTTATTTAAGGAAACCTTTGTAAGGCTTGAGCCTAAAAAATCATGTCTCCTAGTGCTTGATACGGAAAATGAGTGCTTAGCATACAGACTCCAGGCCTCTACATGCAGCTTGCAAAGAATCAGCACTAGCCACTTCCTCAGTAATTCTTTACAGTTCATAGTAGTTACGAAAAAGGAAGTTGAGTAAATCAGACAATTATGCCAGTAGTGGGGTTAATCTGATGTCATTTGTTCTACAAGTTCCGTAAGGTTGGAATGTTGCTCTGCAAAATTCTGGAGACTTTAGGGGAAGATCTGGGGGTGTTAAGTTTGGAATGTAGGGATGCAGGGAAGGGGAGGAGGCATAACGCTCCTCACATTTTAAGCTGTTTACACAAAGAAGTATCCAAGCACAAAAATAAAGACATACCATGTTTACACCTGTGGTGGTCTCTTTAACAACTCCATGCTGCTCTAATAGAGGTAAGATGTTGGTAATATAGATATCCCACCAGATATTGAGGAATTCTGGGTGAACCATTGTCGGATCATGTGCATCTCCTCTTATGCTTTTTGTTTTGGAGTCATAGGTGTAGTTCCATGGTTTTATGCTTCCCAAGAAATGCACTACTTTAGTATTTGCACCAAACCTGCCAAATAAAGAAGTTGGAATTTGTAGATTTTCTGTAAGAGTCTAAAGCAATGCAACTACAGGACACATTTAGTTCTTCTAAAGACCAATGCTATGAAGCTGCAGCTGCTTACTGGGACTATCCTATTGCATAGCAATGCTTTCAATGTAGATACAATTCTACATTGTGATTAGACTATTCAGATTGAATCTAGCCAAGACAGTTGTTTGGGCCATTTCAGTACTTACAGCAACCTCAGTCTCTTGGTAGTATGATGTCCGTGACAGCTCAGGAGAGAACAGTCTCAAGCAGCAGTTGCAATCAGAATAAGTTTTGATACTGACAAGTTTCCACTATAGACCCACCAATCCATACAGCTAGGCACCAAAAAACTTAGCCTATATCAAGTATCAGTGATAAGGTAACATCTTAGCCTTTGATCCTGTAGAAAGGAAATTTCTAGTTGGTCAGAATATCCAGTTTCCCAAGATTCTGCCTCTGCATAAATGCAGTGTTCAATTTAAGCATCAAGGAAGGACTTAATCTTTCCAAAGCAGATTGGACAGCCAGCATCAGAACAATAAACTCTCAAGGAGAAGTTGGCTACATTTCAAATACATGGCTATCAGAATTCTTTGTATTGCAACTATTCTTATTCAATATTTTGAGAGATTTCTGCCTTGAATGATGCTTTCCTTCAGGCAAATATGAATGGTCCCCTACTTCTGCTCAGCTAGTCTTCAGATCATCTCCAGATTCAAAGCTTCTATATGAACACTGGAGAATTTCTATCACTTCCAGTTTCAAGGGAGCCTTCTAATCAGTACCTTAGCAATGTCATCTTCAAGTCTGGAGACAGAACTACTAGCCACTAAACTAGCCTGCTTTAGTGACTGCTTTGAATATTAGTATTATTTTCAGTATCAGTTTTACTTGTCTTATTAGGAACCAGCTTGTTCAGTAGATGCAGGCTGCCTCAAGTCTGGATGAAGAATCCAGCTTCCTGCAATCAATACAGCTATGTTTCTAAGTCTGCACCATAATACAAATTGGAGAGTCATCATAGTATAACTTAAGCTAAGTTACTTGCATATTATTTAAAGTTACTGTTCGATTTTAATATGGTATGAAAGTCCATGCCCCTTCAGGCAGATTTTAGATAATACTTGTTACCAGTACACAGCAGCTTAAAGAGAAATGTCAGAAGGTCAAATTTGTTTCATATTTGATAGGCTTTAAGGAACTTTCTTTTTAGCCTTTAAGAAGTATCAGAGTACAGTGCCTGAGAGGTCAAAGGGTCAGTATGAGAACAAGTTTGGTTTTAGCTTGTCATACATTTAAATTGACCCAGGACTATTTTTTGTGCTTGAGGGTTGACCTTCCTTCCATTATTGATTAGATACCAAGTGTCAATCTGCTTTTGATTAAAGCTTAGCAGAACAAAAATAGCTTAAATTTGGCCTGATTTAAGGTGGAGAATACCTTATATAAAAGAGTTCGTTTAAGTCACTCTGGCTCTACACAGGAATTCTCACTATTTTAGGAATGGTTTGTATGTTTATGAGTCTGGTCTTCCACAATAATTAAGCTAACAGACTGTGTTCCCCAATTGTTCTCAGAACCCACTCTGTGGATTTTGTCAGCTTATCTTTGGTTTTGTCTATTTGCGACAAATCTGTATTAAGTATACTTGAATTGGTCACCATCACAGGCTGAACTCTTTTCCTAAAGAGCAGGGTACCCCCAACGCAGTCTTTTGAAGCTTAACATGCATGTTGTATTTGGTATTTTCCTTCAGAAAAAGGAATTAGTAAGACGTGTGAAGTTTGGCCTTGCTGTACAGCTCTGAAATACAAGATCTTAATGTCAGTAGGTTTAAAATTTGGTTTATTCTAGTTGGATTACTATGAGTTTAGCTCATCTAACAAACATTACGAAGGTGTTCCATTTATTATGTCCTGCTGTAGTAACTTACCCCACACAGATGTAAGGCA